GCCGCGGGCACATCCTCCCCGGCCGGTCGGCCCGGGGGGGGGGGGGCAGAAATGAGGCGATCAACAATAAACCGGCCGATCTGTCCAAACAGACGAGCTTAAAATCCAAGGGGGGAGGGGGGATCGCATAAGAGACCTCCCCCCGCGGGGAAAGGGATCAGATGGGATCCACAGTGCCCCGGGGACAGGGGGCAGCTCCAGCCCTGCCAACTTGCTGCTGAGACCTGTTAGTGCAAGGCTTGAATAAAGGCATCCGGGCGCGGGGGGCAGATCCAGCCCTTCTCTCTCGGCGAGCCAGCAGCTGTAATTGGATTGTATCCAGTCATATTCCCTGTCATTGTATTGACTTTCGCTCTCTTGGATGATATTATCGAGATCACTGAACCTCTCTGCTGATCTGGCTGTCAAAAGGCTCAGACAGGAGCCCCCGGCCTGGAAAACGTGCATCAGCCAAGATAATTTGAAGTGAAATTTTCATTTTGACAGTAAACCCCTCAATTTCTAAAGGCTCTGCACTCCGAGAGCTCGGTGGCAGGGGGAGGCTTTACAGAAAGCCACGTCTTAAACTGAAAAGGGCAAAAGAACTCGAATTAGTTGTAATAGATAAAAGGGCAAAAATAAAGAGTCAAGGGTACTTGACAGTAATAGCGAAAGTGGAGTCTCCGGGGAGAAGTGTTCGCAGCGAGAGGCTGGGCCGGCAGGAATTTTAATGCAGCCAGGGCGGCCGGCAGCCGCTCCACTGAAACCCTTTAGACAAAGCAAATTATTTTCAACCAAAATAAGGCGGTGGAAAAAAAAAAAAAAGAAAGCAGGGAGGGGAGGGGGGGCAGGGAGGTGAGGAGGGAGCGAAGGGGCGCAGGGACTGCAGCCCATGTCACTGAGGATCTGCTGAGAAGCATCCCCCATTTACTCCCCCAATACCATAGCAGCCAAGGGGGTGTGATAGGACCCCCGATAGGTGGGGAGAAAGTTCAGGTGTTCACAAATGGGGCTGTGGACAAGATAGACATCCACGGGGACGCTCAATTATTCACCAGGCACTTTCCGTGTAATAATGACAGGGCTTCCTCCCCTATACACACACTCAGAGGAGACAACAATTTGACATTCCCATCTGAACTCTGCACATCTATTTTGTGGCCATAAGACTTTAAATAAATAAATAAATAAATAAATAGAAATAACAAAAATAAGAATAACAAGAGTAATGACGATGATGATGATGATTTGGACTAGATGACCTCCTGAGGTCCCTTCCAACCCCCCTTTTCTATGATTCGGTGATGATGATGATATTGATGACAAAATCCCAAGTGCTGTTTGAGCTCGTCACTGATTCAGACAGGAATCAGTGACGAGTTTAGCTTCCAATCTGGGGAAGGGATTTCTCCCAAATAGTCCAAATCATGCATAGGCAACAGACCTGGATTCAAAGAAAAGACCTTTTTCAGTGTCATCAGCCGGCGGGAGGTGAGTTGGGGTGTGAGGGGGAGTGGGGGGAATCACTCCTTCATTTTATGGCATCGTTATTGCAAGACAAGTTGGAATAAGTTTGCATCTGTAGCAGGTCCCTCCTGCGTGGGCTACAGGTAAAGGCTGCACTCGGTGCCATTAGGATTCGGGAGAGGGCTCCTGCTCTGTGCTTTCGTGTGCTGGCTGTTGCTGCTGTTTAAAAACCTTGTATACAGATTAGCAGCCCAACGCAGGGATCATTCACAAGCATCCGCAACGTGTAAACAAAAGAGATTAATTTCTCGCTAGGCGATTCAATAGCGTGAGTCAAAGATCACTTCCAGCTGCTTTTGCCCAAGCTGTGGGGCTCAGAGAGAAAGCCATCTAACTTGGCTGGCGGTATAAAGCAGACATGTAGAAAGGGGGAATCAAAAAGAAAGAAAGAAAGAAAGAAAGGGGAAGAAAGAAAAGGGGGGGGGGGAATCATAGAGAAACGGCTTGAAACGTAGAGACTCTAAATCATTCAGCCATGGCAAATTCAAACACACAAAGGAGGGGATGCTAAATTAACAGTGCTTTTTACATAGAGCCCAAATAAAACTGTAATCAGCGACGCGTTACTTTTCATTAAGCGAGTTTGACAGCAGCATATTCAGTCTCGACAAGGGAACAGGAGCGAAGAAATATACGGCTCTCCCAGCCCGAGTCATAAGATAATTCCTTAAGCTCCATTAACAACTCTTAGCCGCAGGAAATGGGCTCCCTGAAAACATCTCCAAATCTAAAAGCTTTATCGACCTCTCAAACCTCTGCTGATGGTTCTATTTTTTTTAAAAACTTAGGAGAGAGACGTCCAGCAAGGTAATAGACTTTGACACAACACCTTCTTAACTAGAGAGAGAGAGAGGCAGAAAAAACGAGACCTTAAATGATATTTAAAAGGCAGCCAATTAAGATTTAAAATGATTGTCTCTTGAGATTATGCATGCAATTTATGTCATCTATTTTTCCCAGGCATGCATGCAAAATTGCAACTGGGCAGATAGCCTGTTCTTTAAATAATAAAAGCTAGAAGAAGAAATAGTAGCAATTAGCTGTCTAACTATCTCAAACAATGTTAAATGTTAAGCTAATAAAGGGTTGGACTTTAGGTAACCTGATTAAAGTAACACATTGCAGCAGTCTACTAGTTTATAGGTAGCTAATGAAAAGACAGCTAAATAAATCATGCAAACATTTTCTATTAACTTTTATGAGCACAATTTCCCCCTATATATTTAAGTCTGTGTTGACACCTGACTATTAAAGGCTTTAATTAGTGCATTTTTACACCACAGAAAACAACAGCTCTTTCAGTTCATTCATACAATAAGGAGAATGTGTCCTGACAGGAGTTGGACCATCAAATATTTTAGAGAGACTTGGTTCTAGAGGATGCATACACTTGATAAAGTCTTAGCAATTTTCTCATTTAAATCTGATTTTCAAAAAATGTGATGGGGTTATGTGCTAGGGTGGCCATCATAGAGGACATTCTGGTTTTCTGCTACTCTGTCCTCTAGTGATACAAAACCTGATGCCTTTATGACATAAAGGCATTGGGTCGCATCACTAGAGGACAGAGGACAAGTGAACTGTCCTCTCTGATGGCCACCCTAGTGTGTGCATGTGTGGTAGAGGGGGGTCATTCCCTATTTAATGCCAAAAAAATAACCTTCACTTTAACTGTTTTAATCAGAAAGACTGTACTGGAAAATCAAAGTAAGAAGTGAAACTTCCTGCAGTATTGAAAGGATCTCCAAATAGAGTGGGGGCACAGGGTAGAGAGAGAACCTGGGAAAGGAGAATCATCTCCATCACTAATGAGGAGCCCCTACACTGGATGAAATTAGTTGGACACAATTTTATTAAGTTAGGAGTAAATTTCAGTGCTGATCCTTTATGTTGTTATCTCTCATGCATTTAATTCATACCTCTAGCTTTGTAAATGTAGTGGCCAAGCATTGGTATATTCTAAATGTGGTTGGTCCAGTAAAAGGTTCTGCATTCACTAGCATTTCAGTGGTTTGCTAAATGTAATAACATATAGCAGTTATGCCTCACTTTCATTCCCTCCCTCTGCACATACTATTCGTCACAGAACTTCTGTGAAGCAGGTTTTAGGAGGCCCATTTTACAGAGAGGTAAATTGAAGCACTGCATGGTTCAATTACTTGCATTAGCCAGGTAGTGTCAGTGCCAAGAAAACCATGCTCGTTGTCACTGCTTCCATCCCCCTGCTGTGGTCTTCCAGCCAGCCAATTAGGGCAAGATCCAGCAAAGACTGAAATGCCTAAATGTTAGGCAATCCCACACCTATTAACCACCTGGGCCCTGGAATGAAATCCAGATCCCTAAGTGAAGGACCTCTGCTTCCTACTCAGTGCGTGGGCAGAGCCAGAGTATGTCTATACTGCTTCCACAGTGCCCCTAAGAGCACCAGCAAGTACAGTCCCATCCGCCTGCCTGCTCCTGCTGTGCGTGCCCCAAACCCAGGAAGGAGGAAGGCACCTCCATCCAGTGTGCAATCCTCAGTCTGAAATCCTCTCCACTGAAACTTCCCTCAGGGTACCTCCCTGCTGCCTGCTTCAATCATGATGGAGACTGTGCTGGACAGGAGGGATTGGGGTGCCCCAGGGTGCCTTTGCTGCCTCATTTCTAGGTTTGGCA